GCTGATAAGTTTTTAAAAATAACACTTACCTGTAAAACATGAGGGACGGTTTTACAGAAAGAAGTACAAATGGCACAACTGTGTAACTTATTGCTGTTTGAGTGACTATCCACGTTATAACATCATAAAATAACTTAAGTTGGGGAGGGTCGATGAAGTAATGTCTAAAGTTTTTTCTTATCTGAAATAAAGAAACACAAAAAAGTTGCCCTATCTTTAAATTAACATCACTCATAAAGTTAAACTGGTGATAGCAACTGTCAGAGACAGGCCATAACCAACTGTCAGATACTGCTGGTGGAGTCCACAATGGCTTCCACCAGGAGAAAAGCTAGTTCTGAAAAACTAACAGGGACATGCATTAAAGGGCGGGTGAAGAGGGAGGAAGAATAGCTACATGTGAACAACTGGTGAGCCTGGGTAAAGGACGCACAGGGATTCTTTGCAACTTCTCTGTCAACCGCAAGTTGTGTTAAAAGGCAGTTCCCCAAACGAGTTAAAAATAGCACTGCCGAGAGGTCCTAAAACCATGATTTTTACCACACAGTGTGAAATACTGTCTTGGAAAAGTCGTGATATACTTATGCTTTTCTATGCAACACTGTGTTAAGACTTTTCCATCGACCCAGTGTTTTCTCATGTTTCTACTGCTAGAAAACAGGACAGCCTTCCCTCTGAGCTCTGTGCCCGTGAAGGCAAGCAGGGCCACACAGCCCTTCGCAAAGTAAAGGCCGGCCACGCATCGTCGTTCTTTAATGGAGGCTGGGAAGGGCTTCTCAAAAGAGAGGCGTTTTCTAATATCCAATACTTTCACAGCTTTTGTTAAGCTTCGAAACAGTCCGGGCATTTCAGGGTTGGACTGTCCGAACGTCGCCTTTTCCTCTCCCTCTGTGGGCCTTGCTCTCCCTGTCTGCTGTGTTTAAACACGACCCTGCTGTGAGGACGCCACAGGCCTTTTCCCGGGGAGCTGGTGCCTGGAAACTGGCTCCTCCACATAGAGACCATCGTCCTTAGCGGCTGTTTCTTGCCTCACTATGGCCATAGCTGCTCTCCACTACCTGCTCTGTCCTGTCCACAATGACAAATCCCTTTTTCTGAGGTGTGGCTTTTGGCACCCCATCTCCACTCTGCAAACCCAGCCTGACTCCCCAGGGTGCAGGCACGATGGGAGGGCTCTTCCCAGCGTGGTGCTCAGCTCTGTGGTTCTGCCCTCCTCCCTCCGCCATCTGCTCATCCAGGATGACTCGCTGTTTATGCAGACATGGGTCTCTGCTTCAATCCAATTTATCTGTCATTGCCCAAAAGCCCCACGCACTTCCAAACATGGTTCGCTAATGTCATTCCCCTGCCTACAACGTCATTTTCTCCCCCTTTACGCTTCACTCACCACTGAAACGGCTTTCATCTTTCAAAGTCCAGATTTAAACACTTTCCTGAGAAGGACATCTCTAAACAAAAGTGGGAGAGATCTCTTTCATCTCTAAACACCTACGGTACGTACTGTCTAGAAGACCCATGGAATGCATCACATGGGCCTTGTGAAAGAGAGTACAGAAACACACACACGGTGTATGTATGTACAAATATATGCCTTAGGCCTCTAGCTAGGCTATAAACTGCCTTAATTAATGCTTCTCGATACTTCCCTGCTCTACCTCCGAGGTATCGGAAACACTGAATACACGCAGGACCTGCTAGTTTGCTAACAAAGCTTGCTTACCGGTCGGCGCTCGAATAAGCTCATTCAAACACTGTTTTTGTCATGTTGCTGTCCTCTAATTGGCTTTTGAGGACACACTAAAATTTCCTTCTGTGCTTCTCTACTATTCAGAAACCAGCTCGACTTCCCAAAATGTCACTCTAGGTTCCAACCCAGCAAATACTCTAAAGGCCTGAGCCTGCTTCTGAGGTGGCATCACCATTGGGAATTACCTGTCCACCTACCAAGGTCTGTCCACTCTTTATCTACAAGAGGACTCAAGGGTTACAACTTGCAGAAAACAGTTCTAAAATAAACCTACCCATTCTGATCCTCTTTATTTAACTCAGTGCTTATGTCTCCTTCAGAGAGTTCTGTAAAGGCAAGTGACACCTTTGACTGCCTCCTCCATGCCAGGCACACGACACGTCTTCACCTCAGGACTAGCATGGAGCCGGCACGTGTGAGCTCGGAAGACAAGCACATCCCGCCCCTCGCTCCCAGCGGAGCAGATGCTGACCATGGCCAGAGAAGTGAGGTCGACCTCGTGAAAGAGACCTCCTCAGCCTTTGCAAGTGCAAGTGGACCGATTGAATATAAAATAAAGTTCTTAATACTTACAGCTCGTGCTGCTAATGTCATTAACACCCCTGTTAGGAACGTTAGGTAATATCCTGGGTATACCCCGTGCCAAATGGCAGAGAGAATGAACGTCTGGATGGTGGGACTGAAGGAGGCTCGTTCATAACACACCCTAAAAACCATGAAAAACATGGAGAGCCAAGAGGAGTGAGTGACTGGAGTTGACAGAGCCCGCAATGATCATTCTCTTATTACCTGACAGGACTTAAGTAACCAGAATAACAAATACACCTATGCTAGGCAATAACTTTACCTCTGATCTCAGGGAGGTCACCATTTTGGTTTTTTTTTTAATTTTTCAGAGAATGTGTGCACTTGCTGAAGAGACAGAGAAAGGAAGAAGGAAGAGAGTGAGAGAGCACCCCATTGGGGACGGTCACACTACACTCCCTTCTCCTCCATCTCTTCCTCTTTTCAGGATTTTGGGCACACAGGCTCACAGGGTCAGTGTGTGTTTTTCCAGCTGCTGGGTACGGAACCTGAACCGTGCAGGGTCCAACCGTGCAGGGCCCAGACCCCTGAGCCACCATGCTACTGGCCGGCCCAGCTGCAGCTAGTGAGTGTCAAGTCTAGGAACATAAATTTAATTTCATCTTCTTCCTGCTATTAATAACTGAAATGATCATTTCTAGTGTCTGGGGATCCACATCATTTACAGACAAATATGTAAGTTTTTACTAATACTAATAATTTTCATTCTATATCATTTTATTACTTTCTTCAAAACCATCAAGAACTTTCAACTGACCTACAAACTCTATTCCTTCTGGCAAATAGGCTGTGCACAGTTTGAAGCAGGGGTTCCCACACCCTGACTGACACAGGTCCCTGGCCTCCTAGAACTGGGTCGCACAGCAGGAAGGGAGAGATCTCTTTCATCTCTAAACACCTACGGTACGTACTGTCTAGAAGACCCATGGAATGCATCACATGGGCCTTGTGAAAGAGAGTACAGAAACACACACACGGTGTATGTATGTACAAATATATGCCTTAGGCCTCTAGCTAGGCTATAAACTGCCTTAATTAATGCTTCTCGATACTTCCCTGCTCTACCTCCGAGGTATCGGAAACACTGAATACACGCAGGACCTGCTAGTTTGCTAACAAAGCTTGCTTACCGGTCGGCGCTCGAATAAGCTCATTCAAACACTGTTTTTGTCATGTTGCTGTCCTCTAATTGGCTTTTGAGGACACACTAAAATTTCCTTCTGTGCTTCTCTACTATTCAGAAACCAGCTCGACTTCCCAAAATGTCACTCTAGGTTCCAACCCAGCAAATACTCTAAAGGCCTGAGCCTGCTTCTGAGGTGGCATCACCATTGGGAATTACCTGTCCACCTACCAAGGTCTGTCCACTCTTTATCTACAAGAGGACTCAAGGGTTACAACTTGCAGAAAACAGTTCTAAAATAAACCTACCCATTCTGATCCTCTTTATTTAACTCAGTGCTTATGTCTCCTTCAGAGAGTTCTGTAAAGGCAAGTGACACCTTTGACTGCCTCCTCCATGCCAGGCACACGACACGTCTTCACCTCAGGACTAGCATGGAGCCGGCACGTGTGAGCTCGGAAGACAAGCACATCCCGCCCCTCGCTCCCAGCGGAGCAGATGCTGACCATGGCCAGAGAAGTGAGGTCGACCTCGTGAAAGAGACCTCCTCAGCCTTTGCAAGTGCAAGTGGACCGATTGAATATAAAATAAAGTTCTTAATACTTACAGCTCGTGCTGCTAATGTCATTAACACCCCTGTTAGGAACGTTAGGTAATATCCTGGGTATACCCCGTGCCAAATGGCAGAGAGAATGAACGTCTGGATGGTGGGACTGAAGGAGGCTCGTTCATAACACACCCTAAAAACCATGAAAAACATGGAGAGCCAAGAGGAGTGAGTGACTGGAGTTGACAGAGCCCGCAATGATCATTCTCTTATTACCTGACAGGACTTAAGTAACCAGAATAACAAATACACCTATGCTAGGCAATAACTTTACCTCTGATCTCAGGGAGGTCACCATTTTGGTTTTTTTTTTAATTTTTCAGAGAATGTGTGTCATTGCCGGATAGTTTTTTTTTTAATTTTTCAGAGAATGTGTGCACTTGCTGAAGAGACAGAGAAAGGAAGAAGGAAGAGAGTGAGAGAGCACCCCATTGGGGACGGTCACACTACACTCCCTTCTCCTCCATCTCTTCCTCTTTTCAGGATTTTGGGCACACAGGCTCACAGGGTCAGTGTGTGTTTTTCCAGCTGCTGGGTACGGAACCTGAACCGTGCAGGGTCCAGACACCTGAGCCACCATGCTACTGGCCGGCCCAGCTGCAGCTAGTGAGTGTCAAGTCTAGGAACATAAATTTAATTTCATCTTCTTCCTGCTATTAATAACTGAAATGATCATTTCTAGTGTCTGGGGATCCACATCATTTACAGACAAATATGTAAGTTTTTACTAATACTAATAATTTTCATTCTATATCATTTTATTACTTTCTTCAAAACCATCAAGAACTTTCAACTGACCTACAAACTCTATTCCTTCTGGCAAATAGGCTGTGCACAGTTTGAAGCAGGGGTTCCCACACCCTGACTGACACAGGTCCCTGGCCTCCTAGAACTGGGTCGCACAGCAGGAAGGGAGCAGCAAGCAAGAGAATGAAGCTTCATCCGTATGTAGAGCCGCTCCCCACGCTCACTGTGCGCTCGAGCTCTGCCTCCTGTCCGATCAGCGGTGCACGCTTCTCACAGAAGTGTGAACCTACTGTGAGCGGTACACGAGAGGGATCCAGGCTGCGCTCCTCCTGAGAATCTAATACTGATGGTCTGAGGTGGAGCTGAGGCGCTGATGCCAGCACTGGGGAGTGGCTGCAAATACTGGGTTACGGCGAGCTGTATAATCAGTTCATTATATATTACAACGTAATAACAGTAGAAATAAAGTGCCCAGTAAATGCAGTGCTCTTTAATCATCCCCGCCCTGTCCGTAGAAAAACTGTCTTCCACAAAACAGTCCCTGGTGTCAATAGGTATGGGATCACTGGTCTAAAGGTTTTCTATAACGGAAGAGAATTCATATGAAAATAAGTTTCCTAAGATATCAAATTTAAACTACAACAAAAAATAACACAACAGGTTAACTTAGAGAATCTGCACCACTGGGGAGACAGTGGGGACTGTGAAGTGAATCCAGTATAGTTGGGTCTCTCAAGGGATAACGATACTCCACTGTCACAAAAAGAGAACACTACCAGAGAAGGCCGCTGAGAGCCCCTGATGCGGGGGCAGGGTTTAGGGATAAATTCAAGAGTGGGTGAGGAGCTTCCAGGGACGGTGAGAGGGATTCCCTGGGTGCTCCTGACCAACTCCCTCGCCCTGTCTCTCGTGTTATTCTCCCTAGGTGCCTGCGCCATCTGCTTGGCCACCTGACACCCTAACAGGAGTCTCAGATGACACACCGAGGACCTCCGAGAAGCCCTCCCTGTTTCCCTTGGTGCTTCTGCTCCCACTCTCTCTTCTCTCATGATCTGCCTCCTTGACGAGCAGGCAGCCGATCACAGCAGCGCTGTAGCCTGAGAACTCTCCCACAGCAGAGGCTGGGTCTTTCCCATACTCCCCTTTACCCTCTCTTAATATAAACTGAAATGTTTATAACTGGGACTGTTCTGGAAGATCCAGGGCATATGTACCGAGGCTTTCCAAAAAACCTGAATTTCCAACGAATGAGAACAGGAGCCAGAGGTGGACACTGGCGACCTCAGACATGGCCGAGGCCTTTGAAGGCAGGCTGAGGGGACACTGATAGCTATGCAAGTGGTTCTGAGCTGGCGGTGCCTTGCTGAAGACACTGAGGGACACGCAGTGTCCCCTGCGGAGCACCAAGGTCACAGTGTCACTCAACACACTGTTAGCTGAATTAGGAACTGAGCTCAGTGAAGCGCGACCTCACAGACCTGACGCTGAAGCACATCTGAGGGTTACGTCGAAGGGACGTACCTTTTGAGCCAAAGAGCTGTCTGAATATTCCAGTTATCAAGAAACATCTTGAAACTTGTTGACATCTGAAAAACAAGAGAAGATTTTTCTTTGGCTAATAAATAATGAAGCTTTAAATATAAACACATCTTACTGTGCCTAAAAATTACTTTACAGTGAGGCACGGCACCTATCTTTCCTGTTTTCCTAATTAATCACACCCTCCTAAGAGCAGCTTATTCATCGTTAGGAATACCTATTGAGGAAACAGATCATCACCAGTTTCTCCTACATGTTAACATTCATGAAGTTCGTCATGGAATCATTCCAAAGGAATTCTAGATAGAGTCGAAACGCCTTCCAGTGACCTGGCCTCTCACGCAGACCTGCCCCTCACTTCCTCCCTCCGCCGTCCAGGCTCCACCATCACTCATGGAGAAGCGGATGTTCACAGCGGTGACCCGCCCAGCTACCAACTCAGTCTTAGAGCCACATGGCCCTGTGCCCCCCCAAAGAGCAGATCTGCACCCCAATGCCCACAACCAGCTTCCCAGCTCTTGGGCCCCCCGCTGTAACTGACTCTCAGTGAAGCTGCCCTGCCTGGTCTCCTCTCCCTTCACCACTTCAGACTCTGCGGTCCGTTACTTACCACTTTACCACTTTCTTGTTATAATCCTCGATGTTCTTTCTTTCTAACTCACCTACTTGATCCAGGTCGCCCGCGCAGTCTGCCCTCCCTACAGGGTACATCTGAATGCAGAGTGTGGACTCACTCATGTTCCAGACAAGTCCTGTGGTCACGGCTCTGTGCCCACCGTGCCCTCCCCAACCAAGCAATCCCACTTCCCCAGATAATTTATTTTCCTCTTCTTGAATACAGCTATTGAATTGAATCACTTGAAGTACTGTCTTTTTGTTTGTTTTTGGTAGTCAAAAGGAGGTATATATCAGCAACTTCACGTTTCAGCCAAATACCTTGAAAGCTCCCCACTTACACCTCTGATCTTACTGCCCGCCTCTCACAGCAGGTACCGGCCTCCTGCTTTGTAAAGAAGATGAAGATCTCAAGGAGGCCCCAGGCTCAGCTGGCCCTGTCCCCGCCCTGTCTGTGGAACAGAAGTGGCCCTTCTTCAGGGTCAACCTTGCCATCTACCCTCCACATCAAATTCCCTTCCAACGTCTTCAGGACCGCATTATGGGGAAATCACCCCCTCTCTGCTTCAATGACATTTTCAAACTCTCCCTCTTCAGATACTGTCCAAGTCAGTAATCAAACCCATTTCAATTGTGCCATTTTAAAACAAAATCACATAAAACTAAAACTCCCCCTCCGTCACCCAGCCCTCAGTGACTGCCCTGTCTCTACCCCCCTTCCCTGTGAGAGCGACAGACTTCTAAACGCTGCAGAATCTGAGTTCTATGCCCGTCACTCCCTTGCAACTGTTGCCTACAAAACCACACGTGACAAGGGCCCTTAGACCTCATCTACTTGGCACTTTACACTGCTGACAGCACGGCCACCTTCGGAGAACCCACTTCCTTCTTTGCACCAACTCCCATAGCTGTCCACTCCGCCCTCTCCCCTGCCCCAGCTCCCACAGATGCCACTCCGCCCTCTCCCCTGCACCAGCTCCCACAGCTGCCACTCCGCCCTCTCCCCTGCACCAGCTCCCACAGATGCCACTCCGCCCTCTCCCCTGCACCAACCCTCACAGCTGCCACCCAGCCCTCCCCACCCTGCCCATGGCAGTGACCAGGACTTCAGAGGAAACACCAGGCATCTCATTTCTCTGTCAACAGTTCAAAATTTGTTTGTAATTTAAAAAGCTTTTAAAACCCCATGATAAACCATAACAAGATTAGTAATAATTCCTTAGCGTCATCTGATACCCTGGTATTCCCATTTCCCCAACTGCTTACAACGGTGTCTCCCCAGCGGCTTGCTCAGGACGCCCACCCTCTAGTTTCTCCTGAGCCGGAACCGCCCCTCCAGCCCCCCTGGTGCCCACGCAGCTTATTAGTGGGAAAAAATCGAGTCATAGCCGGAGAACTTCTCACTTCTGGCCTGGAGTTCAACTTCCCTACGTTCCCTGCTCTGTCTAAACTCAGAAGATCCGGGCCTGACTGCAGTTTCGTGGTCCCCGGCACTGCCTCCGAGTCCGGCGCCACCCCTCCCCAGGCGCCGACGCCTTGTGCGAGGGCCACACCGAGGCCGGGGTGGAAGACTGGGCAGCACACTCGGGTCTCGGTGGTGCTCTCACTGGAGGACCCTTAGGGCAGGCAGAGCCGGTCCGCCCGCGGCTTCCCGCTCCCTGGGGACCCTCCTGGGCACAGTCTCCCCCGGGCGCTCCTGCGGGGACCCTCACCTCTTCCCACCTCGCGATGGTTTCAGGGCTCCTCTCCTGGCTTCTCTCGGGGCTGAACTACTTCCCGCAGGTGGCTGGAGACCGACCGCAAACTCAGCTGCGCAGCAGGGTCTGACATGCCCGCCGGTGGCACCCCGAGGGCTCCGCGTTCCCCTCCGACCTGTGCCTCTTCCTGCCATCTCAGTCCAGGGAGACACGGTCACCTGGTCACTGCGACCTACCTCACTCGGCTCCCAGTCGTTCTTGCAGGTCTCTGAATCTCCTAAGAGACCTTGGACGCTTCCCGTCCGTTGAGCCCACTGGCGGCAGCCTGGTTTGGGTCATTGCCACCCCGAGGTAGCCCTGCCACCCCGACAGCTCTGCCCCGAGCAATGCGGTCCGCAGGGCAGATCTCCCGAGCACGCGTGGGCTCGCTGTGCCTGTGCGGATGCCCCGCCCACAGCCTCCGCTTTCAGGACTCCTAACGGCCTCCAGGCTGCGCTCCGCCTGGCCTCTACTTCAGCCTCCTCTTCACCACTCTCCACACCGGGCCCCCACAGGCGCCTCTCAGGCTGCCCCTCTGCTCCGACCCAGCTGGAGGTTCTTCTCCTCAGGGCCCTCTTCCCTGACCCCCTGGTCTAAGCTGGACTCCAGCCTGGTAAACACCGGTCACCCCGCTCGGCCTTACCCGGCCTGTTTCACTGCACTCGCGCTCTGTGAAGACCTGGGTTGTACCTATCCTATTCACTGAATCCTCAGTGTCCCCACACGTGGCAGATGACTCACAAATACTGGCCGAACGAAAGAATGAGTATTATTTAAAATCTGCACCGTCTTGGGGCATCACGTCACACCCTATGACTCTAAGTATCGTAACGATTTACTAACCTCGATTTGCTGAATTCTCAGGTTGGAAATGAGGTCCCAACGAGCCTCTCCATTTCTGTCATATCCTCTGAAGCCGAAGCCTGCGGCATTATTGATGGCGTCAGCTGCAGTAAGTGAAGCAAACACACACGAAACGGCATTGAGGACCTACGAGACGATCTCCCGAATCCTCCCAGGCCTTGTCATCATACACTGTGATGTCGCAAAAGGAGGTTTCTCCCTAATTTTAAGAGTACTCGGAAACAGTAGCGCATACAATGCAGATGCAGCCTGTCCGCCACATCCCCGGCTCCACACCCACAGGCTGAACCAACAGCCGATGGAAACGTTAGGCTGTTGCAGACGGTACCACGGAGCTGGGCCCGGGTATCACGCGTGCTCTGAGATGACTTACAGTGTACAGGAGGACTTACAGGCCACACGTGAGCCCCCCACACACCACGTAGACCCAGGACCTGAGCGCCAGTGGGTTCTGCTACCCCTGGAGGGCGCTGCAGCTACCCCCACAGACACCGAGGTATGCTGACGCCCACTGAGGACAAACTGGTTTATCAGAGAGCCCCAGACACTGAGTGTGCGCAGAGGGCAGGTGGAGTTTACAAGTGGCTGAGGACCAAGGGGCTAGGGCTGAAGGCCCGACCCGGAAACAACTTTCTCGTACCAGATTCTCCAATGGGCAACGGCGGGGTGAGCCACCTGGAAAGAAAGCCCTAACGGGGATGCTGTGCCCTGGGACTGCCACGTCCCCTTTAATCACCTGCCTGACCTTCTGTAAGAAAGAAGATGTAAGGAGAGATAATATTTTCACTTCAACATTTTTCTCTCTTGGTTCACCTGAACCAGCTCTACGTAGATGTCTCAGAGTTTGTTTCCTAATCCTTTTCACCACAATACTCGATTAGTCATTTCTGCTTTATATACTTACTTGATTAAGCTTCAGAGAACATTTCTGCCTCAAATGAGCCTTTTCCTGTCATCTGGAAGTGTTTACACTTTGTGCTGATTTGTGTCATGACCAAAGAACAAACTGCATCTGCCTGTGTGGACTTGTACCCTTAAATTGTTTTATTCCTTGTCAGTGCTTTTTGGTACATCAAGCAAGATTTTTAAAAAATTACACTTTGGGGAAAGAAATAAACAAGAAAGAGTTATCTCCCTGTCAGGTCGAACGAGGACAGAAACCTTTGTCACATCCATGTGCGTGGCTAAGATAAGCCGATCAGTGCAGGAGCAGTCACATCCGGCAGAATTAGAGACGAGGGCTCTGACATAAATGGCAGCACGCCCACGCAAAACGTGCTGGAAGACAAGTCCGTCCCCTCCTGGTCGCCCCCACTCTGACGTCTTCGCTCGCTCTCCCCACCTCGGGCCGCCTGACCTGAGAGCAGGTGGATTCCTGCCAGCCTCTCGCCGAGCTCTCGGAACCTGGACCGACCCAGGGAGCGGCCAACGGCGATGAGAAGAACCAGGAATACCAAAGCATGGGGCCGCCTTCCATGTACCCCGTGCCCCCAAACCCACCCAAACCACAGGGCCACCCACCTTCCATGTCCCCTGTACCCCCAAACCCACGAGCCTGGACCGACCCAGGGGGCGGCCAACGGCGATGAGAAGAACCAGGAATACCAAAGCATGGGGCCGCCTTCCATGTACCCCGTGCCCCCAAACCCACCCAAACCACAGGGCCACCCACCTTCCATGTCCCCTGGACCCCCAAACCCACCCAAACCACAGGCCCACCTTCCATATCCCCCGCACCCCCAAACCCACCCAAACCACAGGCCCACCTTCCATGTCCCCCACGCCCCCAAACCCACCCAGACTGAGCCTGACCCTAACCCCCAGCTTCCCTAATTCCCGAGAAAGCACCCAAGTTTCCTATTTATAGAGATAAATTTAGCAATGTGTGGTTCCCAATCATGACCCTCGTGCCGAGTTAAACCTTTACCCTGTATCTACATGGGCTAAGTCGTGCTTTCCTAAACGGGCTTAAAGGGCAACAAGTGCTCACTTTCCAAGGAACCATTTTTGAAGAGCTGAGGGGACAGGGCAGGGCCACAGGGTGGGGGGCCAGAAGGCTGACTCCTATTTTCATAACCCTTGAATTAAAAAGTTGGACACAACAGTCTAGGCAGCCACTCAGTAGTAATGAAACTGCAAATTCAAAAATAGTACCTGACCTCAGCAAGGTTGATTCCCCCAGAATGTATTCCTTTCACAATTACCATCAGAATGCACAAACAAAACCAACAAGTTATTCTTAGTCTAATCTTGTGGCTAAGAAGTCTTCAAATGTAGCACAATTGCAACTTATAATTCTTATTTCTTATTATGTTTATTTCCTTAAGAAGGAATCAAGGAAAGGAATCAGCTTATCTTTTCCTTATTTTTCAAAGCAAATATTGAGGTTGGGGGATCAGAAGTCCTCTAAGAATCTTTTTGATGGTTTTACGTTTTGCCAGAGGGCATGTGCACTTGCAGGAGAGACACAGAGAGCAGGAGAGGGCGTGTGAGAAAGCGCCTCCCCATGGGGCACATCATGCTGTGACCCCCTCTCCAGCTCCTCCCCCTTCTAGGGTTCTGGGCACACACATGCACGTGGGCTGTTTCTCAAGCTGCTGTGTCCGGGACTGAACCGTGCAGCTGGGCCACATGGGATCTGGCCACCTTAATCACCATGCAAAGGCTGGCCTAAGAACCATTTTTAGTTGTCATATTTGACAAAGAAATAATGACAAATGTTGTGCAATTTCATATATTTATGGAGAGCTCTAGATTTTTTTAAAAGCCACAGAAATCCAGTGACTTCATTCCTCTGACAGTGGATTCACAACAACTAGATGTGCAACCAAATCCAAGAACGTGCAGAATTTGTATATTCTATAAATCAAGTGGTTTAATAAATAGGTCTCATTTTTTTTTTTATAAAACCTTAAAAATTCTAGGTTGGTTTGGGAAAATTCCCAATCTCAATTTAAAGTCAGAATTTACGTACCAATAGTAGGTGTATAAACATCTTCAGGAAATCTCATTTGGTATTATTACTGATGCTTAAATTTGGTGAGAATAACAAATTTCAATCTTTACAGAAATATTAGCTTAAAATCCACAGAAGGAAATATTACATTTTAATTGGCCATTGATCACCAAGTTAAGGAAACTTTTTTTATGGAATTATTTTATTTAACTTACTTACTTTCTCTCTCTCTCTCTCTCTCTCTCTCTCTGCATTAATATATTTCAATTTGACCAGAGAGGGACAGAGAGAGAGAGAGAGAGAAGGTGAGAAAGCAAGACACCAGGTCCAAGACTTGAACTGTGGTTGACCATGTGGAAGTCCAGCGCAATTCTAGGTTGGTTTGGGAAAATTCCCAATCTCAATTTAAAGTCAGAATTTACGTACCAATAGTAGGTGTATAAACATCTTCAGGAAATCTCATTTGGTATTATTACTGATGCTTAAATTTGGTGAGAATAACAAATTTCAATCTTTACAGAAATATTAGCTTAAAATCCACAGAAGGAAATATTACATTTTAATTGGCCATTGATCACCAAGTTAAGGAAACTTTTTTTATGGAATTATTTTATTTAACTTACTTTTACTTACTTTCTCTCTCTCTCTCTCTCTCTCTCTCTCTCTGCATTAATATATTTCAATTTGACCAGAGAGGGACAGAGAGAGAGAGAGAGAGAAGGTGAGAAAGCAAGACACCAGGTCCAAGACTTGAACTGTGGTTGACCATGTGGAAGTCCAGCGCCCTTAACCAACATGCCACCTGCCAGCCCCAAGTTAAGGTAACTTGTAATGATGTTATGGGGTACAGTGAAAGACTGAAACAAGGACTCTAGTCCCAAGCTATATTTCACTGTAACCAAATAAACCAACAGTAAATGCCAGTCCCAGGGCATTGCTTCCCTGAAGTGTCTGTGCATTCATTTAAGCAGCCACTGTGCACCAAACAGAAACAAGGCAAACCGGACACAGTCTTAACAGTATGGCTTTATACTCCAGTAGCTGAGATGAAAGACGACACATATAAAAAAGGTTTCGATTTATCCATTGATGCTCCACCTCAACCCGGCCTCGAAAATGGAGCCAGGGTTATCTTCTACAACCACAGGATCATGCCATCAGCCTGCCTGCCACCTCTGGGGCTCAGACGAAGCACATGGGGTCTTGGGAAAGGCCTGCTGCTCTTTCCTGCATGACCCCTGCTATGCCTGTCACAGGAGGACAGCCTCTTCCACACTTCCTGGCTCACGAGGGCAACCAGCCACCTTCCACTGACTGAGATCACGTCCAGTCTGAAAGGCATGGCCGAAGACGATCTTTTCCAACACTTTCCCTGCCAGGCACAACTAGGAGAGGTTTTTGCTATAGGGCATGTGCGCTCGCCTCTTCAGGGCACTAATACCTGTCCACTAGGCCAGAAGTCGATGGCCACCGGTCTATTTAACAGATCCCATAAAGGGAAGCTTGACATGCTCATGCGAAGTGGTAAGCAGACGCCTGGACAGAACAGGTATTTAGTGCTTACCTGTTGCCTTTTCACCGACCCACTGATTCTTATAATGAAGTGGGTTTGACCCACCTTTTAGGATATGCTTACAAACGGGCTATAAGCTTTGTTTCTGCTACATACATGACTCATTTTCCTAATGAGCCACAAACTATTCATCCCCAAGAGGGTGCTCTCATGGTACCGACAAGGTAAGATACACTATAACCCATAATCAGAAAAGTCTAATTACATGTTACTTACCTAATGTCCATGCGAAATAGTATTTAGGTCTGGCAGCCAAAAGAGAGACATACAGATAGGTAACCTTTGTCGGCCACGAGGCTGTAGCTTGAAAATGCTCATCAATGTTGTACTCCACAGGTAACGTTGTAGAGATGGTCAAGTGAAATAATAAGGAAAGTCCACAGACCAAGAGCTTCTGAATAACTGCAATCTGAAAAGTTCAAGACAGATTTAATAAACTTCATCTATACTATTCTTCATCCCCCAGGCCCCTTTTCATTTCCTGTCCGTATTATCACCAGATGAAGCTCTCTGACCATAGCAACGATCTTTACCTCCCCTGGTCGAACACCAAGACCGTGCTGCACTTGGCAGTTAAAGCCCCCCAGGTCTCGGGACCAGCAGTTGGCGTAATGGCTATGTCACTGAACTCCCATGTAGTCAACCGCAGTTCAAGTCCCGGACCCGGTGGCTTAAACTCACGCCGGGTACGTGTGCATGCATGCTCAAGATCCCGAGAGGAGAATAGAGGAGAAGGGATTGCGGCGTGGCTATTCCCCCTGGGAGGTGATTTCTCGCTTTCTGTCTCTCTGTCTCTCTGTCTCTCTCTGGCGAGCGCACGCGGAAAAAAACCCTCCAAAAAAAAAAAAAAAAAAAACCCACGCGCCCCCCCCCGTCTCCCCAGGTCTCACAGTATAAACAGTGCCAACCTCACCTGTAACCAACACCTACAAGTCTGGCTCAATTCACACTTAAAGCTACAATTTGTGTGTTCAGAACTTTTAGGAAAGAAAAATCTAAAAGCTAGCGCAAGTGCAGGTGTAAACGGGAGTGAATGTCGACAAATATGGATATTCATGACTTCTGGTAGAGGAGCTGATAAGACACACAAATAATTGTACTGTTTCTGTATTTCCCAAGCTCCAGGTACTTCATGGACATTATTTTTAGTAATAAACAATCTATACATCTCTTAAAACCTGAAAATGCTTTAATGCAACAATTGAACCCACAAAGTTACATACCTGAGGAAACTAGAATTTTGTATAAAAGACTGATGGAAAGAAGAGGTCACCCTTAACAATGCTGTGTTAAGAGTAAATCACCAACTCGTGGTGTTTTATATTTTTACAACACCTGGTGTTTTCTTATTTTCAGAAGGCCAGGATATTTCAACAGCATAAAAGAGACTACATGGGATATGAAGGAAAGGAAATCAAGTGGAAAAAAGAAAAGGCTTGATGCAGATGAAGGAATGTAACAAAATACCTGGACTTAGAGCACCCCGGACAGTTACCAAGAAATAGAAAAACTGACTAAAGGAATTCATAAATGACCATGCATATATTAACGCTTTATGTAACAGTGCCGCAAGAATGGCTCACCGGCAGGAGGTGAGGCAGGCGCTGGCCTCACTGCACCCAGGAAAGAGCTACCTTCTTCCTGGGCTGCTCCCTAGGTGGGGCCACTGGTCAAGGACTCCTCGCTGCAGTTCTTACTCTCATTTTCCCGGGTCGTCTTTTAGACTTTTCTTAAATAAGGCTACTATTTTTAATCCCTTCCCCAAATATCTTTTTTTAAAATTTTGATTTATTCATTCATTTATTTTAATTTGACCAGGAGAGAGAGAGATAGGGAGAGAGAGAAAAAGAGAGAGAAAGTAAGCTACCAGGTTTGGGATTAGAACTGTGGTCACCATGTGAGAATGTCTACCACCTTAACCACCACGCCACCTGCTGGTCCTCCGCCAAATATCTTAACTGTACATTTGAATAACGAGATTTTAAAAAGGTAACTAGAGAAAAATTGTAGTTATAAAGAGAGATGAGATGAATGGCCCCATTTAGGGGATTGACCTGAAAATTATGCATAGCATTTTAGCATTTTAGTAATGCAGTAAGAAATACTGTGGCTATTAGACAAAATACAAAGTTTCTACGTCTCCACTTTAAAAAAAAAAAGAAAGAAAGAAAAGAAAAGAAAATTGGGCCAGCACCAGGGCACTGTGGTAACAAACTGCAAAAACAAAGTGGGTCGGGAACCAGCAGTTAGCGTAATGGCTATGTCGCTGGACTCCCACATAGTCGACCGCGGTTCGTGTCCTGGACCCGGTGGCTTAAAACTCACGCCGGGCGCATGTGCGTGCGTGCCCAAGATCCCGAGAGGAGAATGGAGGAGAAGGGATTGTGGCGTGACCATCCCCCCTGGGGGGTGATTTCTCGCTTTCTGTCTCTATGTCTCGCTCTGTCTGTCTGGCGAGCGCACGCGCCCTACAGTGAAAATCTCTCCAAAAACAAACAAAAAAAAAACAAAAAAAACCCAAAGCGGGTCTGCGTGGAAGGGCGTGTGGTGTGCACGGCTCACTCACTCGTGGGCTGCACGTGCCCCTGATCCTGGCTGCTGGGGAAGGCTGGGCAGGGGGATTACGTCTCTCTGTCTCTCATGCTCACCAAAAGATACACTTAAAAAAAGAAATAAAAGTAACATACATCTGATTTTTCACTACCAAGAGGAGAATGGAAAAGGGATTGCAGCATGGCCATCCCCCCAGTGGGGTGATCTCTCACCTTTTGTCTCTCTGTCTCTCTGGCAAGCATACGTGCCCTATAGCAAAAATCTCTCTAAGGAAAAAAATAAGCGAGTATGATGACAAAATCACTTTTTTGGTATAAAACACAATGAGTCACAAGGTTTTTCTTTTTTTTTTTTTTAAAGGTAACCATTGCTTTGCAAATGAATGTAATCTCTCCACTCACTGTCCATGGTCCACACGGACAGAGAGGTAGGTTTGCAGATGAAAGGAGTGGCAGCCCCACACTCAGAGAAAATAGACTGGCCCCCGTATTCGGCTCCCAGACTTTCTGACGGGCCTCTTTTTCTTCTTGATTATTTTTAATTAACATGTCATTCTACATATGGGGCAGTACAGTGTGATATTTTTGGTAATGATTAATAGGGACCACCAGCATAGCCATCACCTCGAACACTGATAATTCCTGTGTTGGAGGCCTAGCATTTCTCAGGAACGCTTCAGTTCTGCCAGATGGAGCCCGCAGAAACTGCCTGTGCAAAGCCTATGCCTTTTTGCAAGCAGCAGCGACTGAGCAGTGCCTAGTCCCCCAGCAGCTCGGGGAGCACGAGCGATGTTCCGACTTGGAGTCGGGCTGCCTGCATTTCCATTCCAGTTCTCCTGCTGCCGACCTGAAAAATCCTGGTCAACCTTCGTAGCCTCTGAGGCCCATCTTCCCCATCTGCCAGATGGTGAGAAGAACAACACCTGCCTTCCAGCCTGACACGAAGGCTCGGAGAGCGACTGACTGTGTGTGATGTGCTCGGGCCGGCACCTGACGTCCTAAGTGCTACCCGCGTGTTAACTATGATTAGCTTTATTGCGTGGCTCAGAAAATGGTGATGTTTTATAAAAATGGTGGTATCTGATATAGGCCTCTAACAAGGAATGATTTTGATTGGCAATGATGAGGAAGAGGCGAGGGAGAACAGGAAAAGGGAGGACACAAGAGCATTTTCAACTTGCTGAACCAGAAGGCATATAGGCAAAGAAAACGCTTGGAAAATATGGTTGGTCAATTCCATGAGAAAAGCTTTCTTACAAAATACCTGTTACAATAAAGCATTATTCTAAGCAATTCAGCGCATATGTAGTTCCTTCTTCTTTTTTATTTTTTGGAGAGGTTTTTGCTAAAGGGCGCGTGCACTCACCAGACAGACAGAGACAGACAGAGAGACAGAAAGCGAGAAATCACCACCACCACCCCAGGGGGGATGGCCACGCCACAATCCCTTCTCCTCCATTCTCTCTCGGGATCTTGGGCACGTATGCACACGCGCCCCCGGTGTGAGTTTAAGCCACTGGGTCCGAACCACAGGCGACTAGATGTGAGTCTAGTGACTTAGCCACCACGCCATCTGCAGGTTCCCATATGCACGTTCTTAAGTAACCTTATTTTGTTCTTTGATCATGGCTATCCTTCTGCCAGGTATCACTACTAGGTATGGCACAACCATTCATCTTAAAAGATACCTTAAAAGAAATAGATGATAACTTTGAACATGACAATATTGGTATCTTTACATAAATAACCGACTAACCAATGCATATTTCAAATATAAAAGCTCCAGAAATCTCGCCCGGTCTTACATTTGGAGACGGCTCTGTTCTTTCACATTGCACGTCTTCCTTCCCATTTTCGTCCGGTTGTGTCACATGGTATGATCTGCCTTCAATGAAAGTGATGTAGTCTTTGTAAGAGCAGAGTGGGCCTGCCAGGATGCCCATGAAGTTACAATTGTAACTTAAATACTCCAGTAGGCTTGGCATGCGCCTGCAACAAAAAGACATGTAAGTCTGAGAGATGCCATATGCTTTCAGAAAAGCTGATAGGAAAAGCAACATCTATCTCACTGCTCCACCATGCCCAAACAGAACAAGCTGTACTTCCCGCTCGTGCCCGCATACTAAGAATGTAAGACGCGCTCTAGCAATGCTCAGCAGTACTGCTGAATAACAGCTTCACACGGATCCCGATGGGCAACTAGGAGGGGGTTCCGCTTAGATCTCTCACAGCAAAACAAACCTAAGATGGGCGCAATATGGCAAAAAGAATCCTCTCTTACTCGTCAGACATTCGCTCAGTTCACAAACTCCCCCTGTGTGCCAGCTAGGCCACCTGGCACGCTCCAGGGCCTGGAGATACCACCGTAAACAAAGCAGAGGAGAATCCTGCATCATGCAGTTTCCGTACCAGCTGCAAAACCCCAGACGTATAAGGTATTTTCAGAGATGCTAAATGCTACCAAGGAAAGAAGGTATTTTATGATATGAAGAAATCAGAGAAGGGGGCCAGCAGGTGGTGAGGTGGTTAAGGTGCTGGACTCCCACATGGTTGACCATGGTTTGAGCCCTGGACCGCACAGCTTTCTCTCTCTGATAAATGTACATAGCCTATAGCAAATTAAAAACACATAATAGTAACTTAAATTGAGTAATTATTAAAAGAAAAAGAAAAAAGAAACCAGAGAAGATCTCTCTGGTACAGCAACATCTGAGCAAAGACCAGAAGTTCATGAGCAGAGTCTTGTGAATGTCTGAGAAGGAGTCCAGGCAGAGGGAATGAGGAGTGGAAGAGCCCTGAACAGGGTATGGCAGCTTATTCACGGAAATGAATAAGTGTATATTTTAGTCTTTTAGAACAACTTCATTAATCAAGACGACTATTAACTGTCAACTATACACTATCACAAATAAAAGAACTACTACCCCCGGGACTGAAAACAGGGCTCTCAAACACGTTACAATCCTTTCTTCTTCTGTAAATATGACAAGCTCTGTCTTTAAAAAGAAAACCTCTTTGTGGACAAGAAACGTAGACAAAATGCTCTTATATACACTATGTATTATTTTTATTTTGAAAAATTAATAGAACAGAACAGTGTTTCCTATCTCTCTGACACTATCCAGGTTACCAGTCAGCCAAAACTCCTTTTCTAATTCTTCCAAAATTGCTTTTCTACATTTGAAAGTACCTTGGATCTTAACCATTTTCTCTTTGGGGCTCAAAACTGCTAGGAAATAGTTTTGAAAAGTTTCTGGCAGATTTTCCTTTTCAGATCTTTCCATTTAATGATGAAACGGAATGGTTTCTCAGTTCATCACACACCGAGGGAAGTACCCTGCCACCACCAAGCTGCAAAGGAATGCCTTGTACCTCAGCAAGAGGCACTCACTCCCAATGTCGGTTTCCCAAGACCAAAACCAACGTCAGGTTATTGAAGGCTGGCTTGATCTCGCCAAGTCCAACTATGTGTTACCATGTGCAAGGCCAGGAGATAATTCTTCACCATGAAATTTGCTTAAGTACTTTGTGGTCCAAGTACCATATTAAACAAGTCATTTTATGTACTGAAGCAAATTATCAGATTTCCTAATAAAATAATAACTCAAGTCTCATTACAGTATTTCATTTCTGATATTAAACAAAAGAGACATTCATGCCTTCAGTATTTGGTATCAACTGTGTGCTGTCTTAGGCTGGGACTTCTCGACTTCAGAATTAGGGACATCTTGGGCCAATAATTCTTGTTGCAGGCGACCGTCCTGTCATGGAGGAATGCTCGGCAGCAGCGCTACCTTCTGCCACTAGGTGTCAGCAGCACCACCCCCTCCTCAGCCGTGACAACCAGAACGTCTCCAGACGTGGTCCAATGTCTCCTGAGGACAAAATCGCTCAGTCATCTAATAGCGGCAAACACCATCAGATGAACAGATCGTGTGATAGACCAGATGGAGTTCCTATCCTGAGCGACCTTTCATTTGGGAGGGACCTAGGGAGGGAACAACTAGAATGAAGGTACCGTGCAACCTTGGAGAGTGATACTTCTGAAGACAGGCAGGCAGGGCGAAGGGAGGGAGTGGTGCAGGAGAGGGTATCTGAGGGTGGTCTGTACAGATGGTGGAGGGAGGGCGGGGGAGACAGCAGAGCTCCAGCAGGCTGTCCAGGCGAGTGAGAGAACGGGAGACCAGCGAGCGTCGGGGCTGGGAGGACGGGGAGGGGACGGGGTAAAGCGGCCATGTTAGAGCTCGCTTTGAGAGGGAAGGCTCCCCTGCCTTGGTAAAGCGGGTGTGCGTGAGAAAGCGGGCACTGCCTAAGGCACTCATGGTGCCCAATGCTGCTGTGAGCACCATGGGCGAGGGCAGACACAGGGCCAGAGACAACCCGCAGCGCGCTCCCAGCCTGCTTGGTATGCGACGCCTGTCACTGCCGGGCAGACGCTGACGTGGCTGGGCACAGGGGGCCGCAGC